GACATGGTAGAAAAATACATGTAAGTCTTCATGGGAAACTTTTTTCATTTCTTGAGAAAACTTTTAACATTTCTTCGACAATCTGACAAAGGTATTGCAACAATGTCAAGAGACAAACTTAGTGTTGAAATGGGAGAAATGACACTTCATTGTTAATGAAGGCATTGTTCTATATCAAAAAAATTCTCACAAGGAAATTGAAATTGAAGTTGATAAGGCCCAGATTGAGATTGTATAAAAGTGTTTTTTACCTTGATAGGATTGATTGTTTTCTGAGTTGTATATGCTTTTAGTTTGAATGAGGTGTACTAATCAGATACACCTCAATAATACTTTACTTGTAACTCAGCTAGAAGACTATCACACATGGCCAAAGAATTACTACATGTTGGGATTTCGAAGCTCAAAATTAACAACCGAAAATAATTTGCCAAGAGGGGGAAGTTGGCTTTTTGAGAATTTTAGGGAGTAAGGAGAAATAAAGGATAAGAGAAATGATGCACAAGGATTTATAGTGGTTCAACTCCCTCAATGAAGTTTGTATCCACTACCTAAGTTCCTCACTTAGGATTTTCCAACAAATATACTAATTTGTTCTTTCTTTTTCAAGGAAAGACAGATAACGTTTACAAACTCCCTAGCTTTTCAAAGGTTTACCTAGAACCAAAACCCCTTTTCAAAAGGATAAAAGAAGTAAACAATAAAACCTCTACAAGGTAGGGTATTTACAAATTAAAATTCACAAAAACACAATATTTACAAGAGAAAGGAAAATAAGAATGAAAAACTCTTATCTTTTGTTCTTGAACTTGTATTTATATGTTAGAATGAGTTTGTGACCGTTTCTAGCCGTTGGGGATGATTTATAGTCATTTGGGGATGCTTTCTCTACAAAAATAAACTACCTAGTACAGAGGGTATCAGTACTCCTATAGGGAGTATCAATATTATGCTTATGGTATCGATACTACTCTGTAAAGTAGTATCGATACTCCTTTGGGTATCAGTACCGATTTTGCATTCTGGAATTTGAGCAAGCTGGTAGTATTAGTACTACCTTGAGAGTATCGATACTTCTCTTCCCTAAGGTATCGATATCACATGAATAGTATCAACACTGTTCATATAGTATCAATACTGTAAGAACAGTATCGGTACTTCGTACGTGAAAATCAATTTTTGTGCACAAATTCACTTTTAATGGACTTTGAATTATTTTTGAAAACTTTTAATAAATTCAATTCAAGTTAAACATTTTGCCTTAATTTGTTATTGTCCACGATTTTTGAGTACTAAATATGGGTGCGGTATATGTGCAAGTATACACAATCGAATAAGAAATACAATGATGAGTGAGTATCGTCTCCACAGGGATTGGAGGAAATTTATAAGTTTAATCAAAGTACTTTACTATGTCACCTAATTAAGTAGTGATGCTATTTGCAAATGAAAATGTTGTGGCAAAATAAAAGGGATGTTGTGGAAATTGTCTGATGGTAATATGGTAGCAGATTGAGATGTTATGGCAAATTGGATTGTGTGTAATGCAATCAAATGAAAATGTAACGACAAAATAAATTGTAAAAACTGGATTTGATTATAAGGACTTTAGACTCCTCACACGACAAGCTACTATGGGAATGAATGATAGGAGTCACTTAGGAAATTTAAGTATACTTCTCATGATGGTCTTACTTCTATGCTTTATATTCCAGACAGAGTTTACTAAGGGTGCCCTATGCTATCTCTAGTCAAGGGACTCGACAAGTTAAAGATGCCTTGGCAAACAGGTTGGCGTTAGCTATTGCAGGGATCCTATTGGTCCAGATAATAGGATATGTCTCGACAATACCTTTTTACGGCAACATTAATATCTAACCTATCGATCGTGCACTATTCCTTTTAGTCGAATAGAATCATAGCCTTATATCTAAGGTGGATTATGCCTAGTTACTATCTAGAACCCCTTGCTTATGTGGTTCCTCCTTAGTTTCTCTCGAATACTAAGGATGTGCTACTTAGACATTTTCTCGAACACTAAGTAATCACTTCAGGAATGACTACTCTCATAACTCCTACAACCTTAAGGCACTAAGCTTCATAAACAAAACAAATTATAACATAGGAAAACAACCATTCATTAAACCAATTCTTAAATATCTAAAATGAACTCCAACCAAATAGGATTAGTTCATAGGGGTTTGAAATAAGCAAGCACAAAGCAAGTTAATCCGTTTATTACAACCCAAATGTTAAATAATGAAAGCAAAGAGCAAAGGGAAGGAGGAAAAGCCTTCGACGTGCACTACCAGAGCTTCTATCGGCCACCACTAACTGTCCCAGCAATCTAGCTCCTCTCGGATGCCTAGTTCAGCACTCCCTCTAGCTTGTCAACGGAGGAATGCCACGGCAAAAATGATTGACGAAAAAAAGAGAGATATTTTTCTCTAAATTTTTCGGCTCTTGGCGGCTGTCTAAAAGTTTCAAACTATGTTATTTCATTGTGGCTTCATCTTCTATTTATAGGGAGAGAATAAATCTAGGGTTTTGTGTTAAAATTATCCTAGTACCATAAAGTTCATTCCTTTTATGTGAAAGACGGTGCATAGGTTGTCATGGCCATCTCTTTTATGGGGCCACAACCGGGTAGGTACGCCAAGACCAACCCTGTATAGGGCCTAGTGGCAGGGTAGAATAAGCTTGTCCTCTTTTCAAGCATTTCAATGTTTTAGGTAGGGAGTGGGGGTATGACTTACAGTCCTCTGTTTGAGAATTTCAACGTTTATAGGTAGCATTTCAACGTCTATAGGTAGCATTTCTGTTATTTTGTTTTCACATATATGTAGGGGGTGGACAGCCGATAGAGTTTGGGCTGATCCACAGGTAAATGTACGTGTCTTGTGAACACCATCAAGGGTCGCCCCTACGGCCTAATCGATGGTGTGGGTGAGTCTTTTTTAACCGATGTTCCTTTTTATTAATAAAACATTTTTCCCTCGGAGAAGTCCAGGGGTTGAGGTGTGCATCCGCTATGCCCCATGGGCTCAGATTATTGGTCGAAGGACCATATGGCTATAAAGATCTAACACGATGTTTTTTTTCTTTTTAATCAGATATACGAGATAAAGGCTGACTTGGTTGGGAATCGTCTTTTTTGAGTGCCGCACGGATTAGTAACCGAACCAACTAGGCTAAGTCCGTGACACTTGGTATCAGAGCACATAGGTGCGTTTTCCTTTACTAAAAGAACGGAGGTTCTCATTTTGTTGAGTAAAGCATGATATTGCTTGTTACTTGATTGTTGCATAGTTGTGCACAAGTGCTAAACCTAGCACAGAGGTGCTTGGCCGTTTGTAAAAGCACAGAGGTGCTCGGTCGTTTATAAAAGCACAGAGGTACTTGATTTTAGATTATAGCCCAGAGGTGCTCAATCAATCTAATACAAAGAGGTGCCAACTTTTAGACTGAAGCACAGAGGTGCTCAGTCATTTTTTACTGCACAGAGGTGTAAGTCCTTGATTGAAGCATAGAGGTGCTCAATCAGTCTTAGCTATATAGAGGTGTCAGCTCTTGGCTGAAGCCCAGAGGTGCTCAGTCATTTTTAACTGCATAGAGGTGTCATTTCTTGATTGAAACATAGAGGTGCTCAATCTCTTTTGGCTACACAGAGATGTCAGTTCTCGATTGAAGCACAAAGTTGCTCAATCGTTAATTCAAGCACAGAGGTGCTAAATATTCATCATAGCGTTGCTCTTTTCCTTAGAATTTAGGCACAATTGTGCTTATTTGTGTTGTAGGCATAGAGGTGCCAACAAATTACAGAGAATGGTTCGCACACGAAATGACGGAGCAACAAGCTCTCATAGAGGTGTAGAGCAGGAAGTTACGGAGCCGGTTGTACCGAGAATGGTTCACACACGAAATGGCGGATCGACAAGCTCTCCCAGAGGTGTAGAGCAAGAAGCTGCAAAGCCGGTGGTACAAGAGACTGGTTTAGTTGATCGATGAAAGCTAGAAGAGATCGAAGCAGCGCTAGCAGCCCTTAGAGCTCATATAATCTCTAGTGATCGTATGAGGAGGGTCGAGGAGACCAGAGAGGATTTGCTCGATACAGTGACTGATTTGGGCAAAGAGGAAAAAGAGGCCATAGGTGTCATACAACTTGGGTATGATGAGCTGAAGGCTCAAATCAGTGTGCTTCAGGTAGCGGTAGCTAGCTTGACCGCAAACCCTATTAAAAAAGTGGGCATACGAGCCAAGATCCTTGATCTTCAACATTTTATGGAGCGAGGGATGTTAAAGAGCTTGAGAATTTCTTGTTTGACATAGAACAGTATTTTCGAGCTATTGGCACGGAGTCTGAGAAAGATAAGGTGGCAATGACTTTGATGTATCTAGGTGGTGACACTAAGTTATGGTGGCGATCTAAGTTCAAAGATGGAGTGTGCTCCATTACGACTTGGGATATGTTGAAGAAGGAGTTGAGGACCTCCTTTCTCCCCGAGAATGTAGATTACAATGCTCGTAAGAAGCTAAGGGAATTGTCTCACACAGGGACTATACGGGAGTATGTGAGAGAGTTCTCAACCTTGATGTTGGATATAAAGGATATGTAGGAAAGAGATAAGTTATTTCATTTCCTTGAAGGGCTCAAGTCATGGGTTAGACTCGAGCTGTAGAGGCAGAAGGTGCAAGATTTGACAGTAGTGATAGCTACTGCTGAGTGCCTTAATGATTACAACGATCATCCTGGAAAGCACAAGACACATTCGACGGGTAGAGCTAACACCCAACAGGTTAGTGGGAACAAGTTGGCTCTAGGGGAGAAGACAATGAGTTGGGGAGCGAATAGAAGATTCCCTAGAAGGGACCCAGCTCAAATTAGAGTCCCTACTGGTCCTGGATCGAGCAATGGAGGGAATAAACCCTTATTGAGGTGTTTTCTTTGCAATAGACCTCATCGGGTTACAGAATGTCCATAAAGAAGTGCTTTTAATGCCATGGTTGCAACAACGAAAGATAGAGAACGAGTGAATCCTCCCATGGGAGATACCGAGCCTGAGCCAGCTAGAATGGGCTCCATCCGATTTATAACTGCGTTACAGTCTCAATTACGTAACTTGAGGAAAGATCAAGAGAGGGGATTGATGTATGTGTACATCTCAATAAATGGGAAAACCTCTAAATCTCTAGTTGACACGGGAGCCACATATATATTTATCTCTCCAGAGAAAGCTAATAGATGTGAGTTTATTGTTACCAAGGAGGTGGGACAAATGAAAGCAGTTAACTCCACTGCTTCAACGATATGTGGAGGGGCGAAGAGGGTTAGTATCAAACTTGGGTCTTGGAAAGGAAGTGTAGATTTCACTATTTACCACATGAATGATTTTGACGTGGTCTTAGGGCTCGATTTTATAATGGCAGCCCAAGTGATTCCTGTAACAGCATCAAGTTGTTTAATGTTCATGGGGGAGCAACCATGTGTGGTACCAGCTACAATTCTCCCTTGTCCTGGGAAAAAAATATTGTATGTGATCCAATTTAAGAAAGAGGAGAAAAAGGGGGAGACTTCATTCATAGTCTTTCTAATTTCCAAAGAGGATGCCAATCCAGGTACGGTGCCCAAGAATGTTCAAGCAGTGTTGAGAGACTTTGAGGATGTAATGCCATATGAATTACCAAAAGAGTTGCCTCCTAGACGGTTGGTAGACCATGAGATTGAATTGATTCTGGGAGTAAAACCTCCTGCGAAGTACCCGTATCGGATGAGTCCTCCAGAGTTGGCAGAGTTGAGGAAACAATTGGATGAGTTGCTCCAAGCAGGATTTATTCGACTCTCGAAGTCACCTTTCGGGGGCGTCTATGTTATTACAGAAAAAACATGATGGGAGTTTGAGATTGTGTGTAGATTATAGAGCATTGAACAAAGTGACTGTCAGGAATAAATACCCCATTCCATTAATTGCAGATTTGTTCGACCAGCTGAGTAATGCTAAGTATTTCACGTAGTTGGATCTCAGATCGGGATACCATCAAGTGAGAGTGGCCGAAGGGGATGAGCCAAAAACAACATGTGTAACTTGGTATGGGGCATTTGAATTTCTTGTTATGCCTTTTGGACTAACCAATGCTCCCGCTACTTTCTGTACTTTGATGAACCAGGTGTTCCATGACTATCTCGATAAATTCGTAGTCATCTACTTGGATGATATAATGATCTTTAGCACTTCTATGGAAGAGTACGAAGAGCATCTTCGATTGGTGCTAATGAGATTGCGGGAAAATCAATTGTTCGTGAAGAAGGAGAAATGTGCTTTCGCCCAAACACAAGTCCAATTTTTGGGCCACATCATTGAGAAAGAGCACATTTGTATGGATAAGGAGAAGGTGAAGGCTATCCAGGAGTGGCTGACCCCAAAAAATGTTAGTGAGCTTAGATCTTTCCTCGGTTTGGCCAATTATTACAGACGATTTATGGAAGGTTATTCTCGTAGAGTAAAATTACTCACTGATTTGCTGAAGAAAGGTTATGAGTGGGTTTGGTCCAAGGACTGTCAAGAGGCCTTTGATGATTTAAAGAAGGTGGTAAGTAGTGAACCAATGCTTACCTTGCCGGACCTGGAAAAACCTCTAGAAGTAGAGACAGATGCATCCGACTATGCGATTGGAGGGGTACTCTTACAGGACGGACATTCTGTAGCGTTTGAGAGTAGGAAGCTAAATGAAACAGAAGTGAGGTATACGGCTCCCGATAAAGAACTTCTAGCAGTAATTCATTGTTTGAGGATTTAGAGGCATTATTTGTTGTGTTCCAAATTTTTGGTAAAGACCGATAATACAACAGTTAGCCACTTCTTGACACAACCTAAATTGACAGCAAAGCAAGCTAGATAGAAGGAGTTCATGGCCGATTTTGACTTTAGCTTTTAGCATAAGGCGGGGAAAAAGAATCAGGTCATTGATGCATTGAGTCAGAGGGCAGATCTATTAGCACTCTGATGTGTGGTTCCTATATCCGCTAGTAGAGTGTCCAATGAAATTCGTCAGCTCATTGTGAACTTTTCCAAAAAGATCCGCAAGTGATGGCCCTCATGGAGATGGTTAAAAAGGGTATTTCGAAATGTTTTTGGATAGAAAATGGCTTATTGATGACAAAGGGGCCACGAATGTTTGTTCCTTGAGCTGGAAATCTACGACAGAAACTGTTGAAGCAATATCATGATACCCCATGGGCTAGGCATTCCGGTTGGAGGCGTACTATTGCTTTATTGGGAAAAGGGTATTATTGGCCCCAAATGCGCCAAGATATGATGGATTATACCAATACAAGTCTTATCTGTCAACAAGATAAGGTAGATCGACAGAGGACTGCCGGGTTGCTCGAGCCACTACCTGTGCCCGCTCGACCTTGGGAGAGTATCTCCTTGGATTTTATATCACGCTTGCCTCGAGTAGGAGATCTTGGATCAATTTTGGTGGTAGTTGACAAGTTCTCTAAGTATGCCACTTTTATACTAGCATCAAAGTATTGTTCGGCGGAAGAGACTGCGAAGTTGATGTTCAAACATGTGGTGAAATATTGGGGCATTCCTTAGAGCATAGTCAGTGACCGAGATAAAAGATTTATTGGGAAATATTGGAAGGGATTGTTCCAATTAGTGGGGACACAACTCAACTTTTCATCGAGTTACCACCCTCAAACAGATGGACAGATTGAACAATTTAATGGACTATTGGAGGAGTACATGAGGCACTTTATCCAGGCCAATCAGAAGAACTGGCCTCCATTATTGGATGTGGCGTAATTATGTTTTAATTCACGAAAGAGTTCATCTAGTAATTAAAAGTCCTTTTGAAATGGTGATAGGTCAGCAGAAAAGACTTCCACATAATGTGGATGAGACCTCTCAAGGTAGATGCCCCCGTACCTCAAATTTTATGGGGGAGTGGAAACAGAATATGGAGATTGCCAAGGCTTACCTGGAGAAAGCAGCGAATCGTATGAAGAAATGCGCAGATCGTAACAGACGAGACCTACACTTTCAGTTTAGAGATTTGGTGCTAGTCAAGTTGATGCCATATTAGTAAAGGTGGGGAATACTTCGTACAAAGTGGACCCTTCTACTTGGATGAGAGTTCACCCTGTCTTCCATGTGAGCAATTTGAAGCTGTTTCACAATGATCCCAACGTCGATAATTAGAGGATAATTGTTAAGGAGGGTGGAAAGCAAAAACGGGAGTATCTAGTCAAGTGGGGAGGCTTTGATCAATAAGAGAACACTTGGGAAAGAGAGTATGATCTCAGGGCATTCAAGCAGAAGATTGAAGAGTTCCAGGCCATGCAGTCGATGAGGACGTCGACAAATTAGGTGGGGGAGATTGTCATGGCCGTCTCTTTTATGGGGCCACAACCGGGTAGGTACGCCAAGGCCAACCATGTATAGGGCCTAGTAGCAGGGTAGAATAAGCTTGTCATATTTTCAAGCATTTCAATGTTTTAGGTAGGGAGTGGGGGTATGACTTACTGTCCCCTGTTCGAGCATTTCAACGTCTATTGGTAGAATTTCTGTTATTTTGTTTTCGCATATATGTAGGGGTGGACAACCGACAGAGTTTGGGCTGATCCACAGGTAAAGGTATGTGTCTTATGAACACCATCGAGGGCCGCCCCTACGGCCTAATCGATGGTGTGGTTGAGTCTTCTGTAACCCGATGTTTCTTTTTATTAATAAAACATTTTCTCTTGGAGAAGTCCGGGGGTTGAGGTGTGCATCTGCTATGCCCCACGGGCTTGGGTTATTGGTTGAAGGACCATGTGGCTATAAAGATCTAACACGATGTTTGTTTCTGTTTAATCAGATATACGAGATAAAGGCTGACTTGGTTGGGAAGCGTCCCTTTCGAGTGCCGTACGGCTTAGCAACCGAACTAACTAGGCTAAGTTCGTGACACATAGATGGTAATGGGCCCTTTCTTTATGGCTGATTGTAGAAATCACACATAGACAATGACAGATGGCTCTTACTAAAAATATATTCTTTTATCTTTCCTGCCTAGAAATGCCGTCCAAGTTGTCGCGGCAATCGCATTTTGATCAGTAGTCTCATCATGTCATGCCAATTTTCTTCTGCTTATCCTTGCTCCCAAATCTTGCACATTATTAAACAAAACACCTTCCCTATAATGAAACACTGATTACAAAATAAAATGCCGCGGCAAACAGAATTTCACCACATGCAACTATATGCTCCTAAATGCATTTATATGATCCTAAATGGGCTCTTATACAGTCAAAAACTTAAGTGAAAAGGTCCCAGATATGACCTTTTTACAGAGTTATCAGTTATATCAAAATATTGTAAAACATGGTTCAACAATCTCCCCCTTTTTGATATAACAAAACATTTGAAACATTATTTTTGATAAAACTACCCCTTAAGAAAACATTTAATGAAAAAGAGACATATTTTGGAAAATGTTAAAAATGTTAAAAGCTCCCCCTTTTTCATTGAGAGACTGAATTTTTCAACCATACTTCTCCCCCCTTTTTGTTATATAAAAAATAATTCAACTTTAAAGTTAAAAAAAATTGGAGAGTAAGTGGTAAATTTGACATTAAAAGCATTTGAAAAATCAAAGCTCCCCCTAAAAAATAGCATTCAAAACAAAAATGTGACTTTAAAAGCTTGACACTTAAATAAAATTGAATTTCAACAAAGAATGATAAACATGTTAGTATCACATTAAATTCAATATATCCAAGTCTAATAAACTTTATGTAATACCAATTGTTGAAATTAAGTGCATGTGCATAAAGCTATCCAAAAGTGTTATGCATTCGAAGAATTTGATATCAATTGTTAGAGAAATATCATTTACATCTTAAACCACATGCATAAATATTTAAATTTAGGTCAAAAATTAAAATTTGTAAAATCAAAGCATTTGAAAATTGATATCAATTGTTAGAGAGATATCTTTTGCATTAAAAACCAATTTTGACCAAAATTCATTATAATGAATCAAATTTAAAAAATCATTAAATCTTTAAGACCATCATAATACACTTTTCAACATACATGAGATAGAAAACATAAAATGATTTAAAATCAAAAGCTCGTGCATGCTTAAATCAAATGAGCAACCAATTATGCAAAATCGAAATGCTTTTAAGCTTAAAGGTTACCCATTCCTTTACATGTGTGGCTAGCGCATTTGAGTATTTCCACATTCATCAGTATTGATCTCACACACCTACAAGAAACATTTAAGTAGATTTTGGTGTTCAAATTGCTTTGTATCCTTGAACGTTAGTTTCAATAGGCGTTGTTCCCTTAGAAACCCATACATGTCTAATTTTAAAAGATTTTCTTTTATTTATTGGACAAGTATGTTCCAAATAACCATGAAAATGAAAATGTGAGCATTTTTCCATTTTTAAACATAATGAGTTGTTTTTAGAAATTAATTCTTTTTTTGTTAAGCTCTCAAGCTTAACTTTCAAATCAAAATTTTCTTTTTCTAAATCATTGATTTTGACTTTTGAAAGCTCGAAATCATTTTTCAATGATTTTTTTTTTCAAAATCAAATTTTCTTTCAAAACCAAATCATTTTCAACTTTATGTTTTGAAATTAATTTCTTATATTTGGAATTCATGGTCTCAAATTCCAAATACAACTCATCATAGGCAACTTGTAACTCATCCAACGAATAAGAATTTAATTCATTAGAGTTCAAAGTTACCATTGAATATTCATTGATAGTCATGAGACATAGATTACTACTTCATTTTCATCATTGGAGTCATCTTCATCACTCCAAGCTGTCACAAATGTATTCTTCTTACTAGATCACTTCTTCTTTAGGAGGGGACATTCATACATGACAAGCCCTGTTCTTTGACAATTGAAGTACATCGAGGGACTCTTCTTTTTCATCGATTCATGCTTCACTTCCTTAGAAGTCATGAATATCTTAAATCTTTTGAAGAGCTTGGACATCTCTTATTCTTCATCATCATCTTCATCCACCTCTTCATTTGTATCTTGATTACTCTCATTGGTAGATTTGAAGGCAATGCCTACCACCTTCTATTTGTTCTTCTTTTCTTCATCATCTTCTTCTTCCTTTACCATCAACTCATGAGTGAGAAGAGAACCGATAAGCTCATCAAGAGTGAGTGACTTGAGGTTCTTAGTGTAACACCCATAACCCATATAATTATACCTATACAGATTATAGATGTTATCCGAATTTCTAAAAAAAACCATTTCTCAATTTTAGCGCGATTTAAAATTTATTTTCTTAAAATGATAAATGATATTATAAAAATATTATATCATATAAAATTACGTTTCATTATAACAATTTAATTTAAAATATTTTTAATTATGAATAGTAAATAGCACCCGAACAGTAAATAGTGAACAGTGGGGGAATCGATTCCCTGTAGCAGGGGAATCGGTACCCCTTTAACAATCAAGAAATTTTGCTTAAAAACCGTGGTTACTGTTCATGCTACAGTAACTTTCGAAAATTTACATATAAATTCATAAAAATTTACCTTTCATCACTATAAAAATTTCCAAAATTAATTCAACAAATAAAGTGAACATTTTCAAATTACATGCAATTATCTAAAATCAAATTTCATAATAGGATGTCTTACTGATATTGAAATATACCTCTCGATGCTTGATGTCGTTCTGAACTCTTTATTCTTATTCTTTGCATTTTACCTACGCGTGAAAATCATCACACGCTAAGTATAAACTTAGTGAGGCAATTTAAAACATTTAACAGAACAATACAATTCATGCATGATTTTCAATATCAAATATTGAGTTTCCATAAAATCATTTTACCATGATCAAAATAATATAAAATCCCTTACCATTTATCCCATAAGCTCGTAAGCTTATTTTACCAAATACTTACCATTTAAATTCCATAAGCTCGTAAGCTTATTTTACCCATATACTTGCCATTATTCCAAAAGCTCGTAAGCTTATTTGTATGCTTACCATTTATTAAGCAATAAACCATAAACCATAGCCTATAGCCCAATATTCAACCCTGAGGACCCTGGGTACACGAGTCAAATATAAGCACCGTAGTGCTATCCCGAATATGACACATAAGGTCGTGTCCACCATCTGTACTAGGTATCCTTAAGTATAGCCCCGAATATGACACATAAGGTCGTTCCCACCATATACACTAGGTATCCTTTAATGTATTCCCGAATATGCAGCCTGCTGCTGGACTCTATGGCATGCCAACTATACCCTGTCCCTCAATAACTGACTTGGGCATACAGTCTATTTTATTTGATTCATCCATGGCAAAGTATATTATCAATATTTAACAATGGGGTAGTTCATACCCGAAATAACATTCATGGTAAAATCATATGCAAAAATCAGTGATCAATGCATTTTAATTTCATACTCTGACATATCAATGTCAATTTATAAAAAATGATATAAAATCATACCGATATAAACAAGGTCGACTTATCGCAAGTCTTCCTTATGATGTATAAAACATCCATGTATAATTTCATGCATGTATTGCACTCACCTTGACACTTT